TAGAGTACTTACATGCATGACAGGCAGGCATTAATTCAGATTAATAATAATTATGTTACTTACCTTTCTGAGTACCTACTATATGCCAGTGACTTTAGTTTATATATTACTGACCTGAAAATATTAAATGGAAAATTCTAAAAATAAGCAACTCATAAATTTTATATTGCAGTCATTCTGAAGAGCGTGAAGAATTTTTACTGTCCTACTCCATCCCACCCAGTTTGTGAATCATCCTTTTGGTCCACTGTATACACTGTAAACACTACTTGCTTGTTAATCACTTAGCAGCTATCTAAGTTATCACCTCAGCACTGGTGGTATTGAAGTGCTTGTGTTAATGTAACCCTTACTTTACTTAATAATGGCACCCCCAGCTCACAAGTAGTGATACTGACAGTTCACATATGCCAAAGAGAAGCCATAAGTGCTTCCTTTAAGTGAAAAGGTAAAACTCCTCTATTTAATAAGAAACAAACACAACAAACAACAACAACAAAAAACATGCTAAGGTTGCTAAGATTTACCAGGAACAAATTTTCTATCTGTGAAATTGTGAAGAGGAAAAGGAAATTCATTCTGGCTTTGCTCTTATACCTCAACATACAAAAGTTATGGCCATAGTGCATTGTAAGTACTTACTTAAGATGGAAAAGTTAAATGCATGCATACATGCATAGAAGAAACCCAGTACATGAGTATATAGGGTTCAGTAGTAGCCACGACTTCCGGTATACGCGACAGACCTTGGAGGTCTTGGAACATATCCCCTGTGGTTAAATGGGGACTACCATAAATACGGAGATAGTGACTTATTTTATATCTACAAAGAGCCCTGCAATTTAATCTCTTAATAATTAGATAGTAGGTGCCAGATTTGAGCAGAAATGATTTGTAACATTTTGAAATCAGGCAATCATATTGGTCTTTTGAATGAAAACCACTTCTGTGTTAGAATATTCAATTTGGTTTGTCTTTTCTATTTTCAATCATCCTAAAGATTCCTACACAACAATCAATTCCTAATTATTTACTAGGTACTGACTTTGTAATCACATTTGTATAGATTGTATAGAATCAAGCATTTTATTTTCTCTGTCATCTTAGAGAGGCCCAAAATATACTTTGAGAGTAGAAAATTACACGATCTATAACTTGAAATGAACTTTAAGGAGATTATAATAAAAAAATACTAGGATGAAAGAGATATGTTTACCATTCCATATAAACCTGATTTGAAAGGTCCAACTTTTATTTTTTAATTAGTGAAGTTGTTTTATTTCCTATGCATACTAGCTGTCTTCCTCACCACAATTTTCGGTAATAAGTGCTTCCAAAATTCACAGCACTCTACTTATTCATTGGATGGTCATTTTGTCAATGTTTTCCAATGGTGGTTTGGTGGAAAATCCAGTTTTTTTGTGCACTGTAACTGGTTTCTCAATTCAAAAACATAGTTTGCCTTGTCTGAAAAGAGTATCTTCCATTGCCTTTGCTGTGTTGAATAAGTTAGCCCTGGGAAGATTAGGGGTGGGCAAGTGCTGAGGGATTGAAATATGAAGATTTGGGATTTGTATCTTGATATGATAATGGGCTATGCAACTGCGTGAATGACAGAACATCCTTTATGTTTCATCTACCTGATTTCTAAAATGGAAACTATAGACTAACTGAATTCTTATTATCCTTTTCCACTCCCAGGCTCCTTAATTCTAAAAATCTGTTTGGCCATCAAATACAGGTCTCTTCACAGTTGAAATTGCCTCAAGCACAATGCTGCAAGCACATCTGGGTCCTCATTAGTGATGTGTAGTTTTGTCTGTAATTGAAGTCCTTTCTCCCATAGCTCTTACACTAACATATCAAGACTATCTCATTTGTCTAACAATGGGAAAAGGACTTTTATATTGTTTGCATTTCTGTCATTCTACATACAAAAATATCCACTGCTTACCACTTTTAACTTTTCGCTAGATTACAGAAAAGATCCATAAGGAACAATACAAAGCAAGTATGGGCTTGTGGAATTGTCTTTTAAATCTCCTGAAGGGACTGAAACTAGAGAATTTGTTTTCAGTAGGGAATTTGGTTAAACCAGAAAGATCACTGTCTAAAAATTCTTCTTGGTTTTTAATTTAAGCCAAATAAAACATCCATCCTCAGCTGCTTAAATTATGGGGTCAAAGTGAACATAAATAAATTGATTTCTGCAGTACATCACATCCAGTCTTTTATCTATCTTTAAGAACTATAAATGCTTACTGAATGTACATTTGTGGACCAATTTGCACTGGGAATTTAATTCCATAAATACTTCAAAAAGTTAGAACTATAAGTTATTCACATTTCATAAATGGAGAATCTGAGGTACAAGGAAGATATTTTCCTTTGTAGAATGTGACTAGTAAAAGCCAGGTTCAAATCCAGGTTTGTCAGGTTCATTCTAGAAGCACAGTGTTTAGCCAGTGAACTACACCATTTCCTATCCAAATAACTACAGGTGGTCAAGGGGAATACATAAAATACAATCTTCTGCATGAATATCATTAAGGTGCTTTCTAGTCAAGATCTGAAACTGCACCATATGCCTTTATTTTAGAGAAAAAAAACACTAAATATTTGCAAATTACAGTTGGTTATGGTGAGATCAGAAAAAAAAATCTCACAGGAGTATGATCATGGCATGAAATAAGCTTTTCCATCTGTAAGAAATGTATACCTTGGTATAAGCTATTTATAATTCTCCTTTACATCTGTTTAGGCTTTCTAATCTTTCTCAGTTCTCTATTCTTACTACAATTCTGCTTTTCAGTCCCCATGTGTGATGAAATGACCCAACGCAGATAGTAGGGCTGAGGGACATCTAGGAGGTTCTCAGTACTTCAACTCACAAAACAAACAGGAAAGAAAAAGTGTAAAATGTATCCCTCCCCATGCTCCTGATGGAGTTAAGCGCTTAGTGAAATCTCTTGAAACAAATGCAGAAAGTCACTCAGTATAATCATTGTCACTGGAAGTAGATTTTTAGTGTTTCTTTGCCAATAACAACTTGTGGTGCTTGATTAATACGGATACAGTTAACGAAAGAATGGCTCCATGTTATAAAACGCACTTCCTAGCTTCCTTTTCTCATTTCAGCTCTCTAGAGAAGTGGTGATGCAATGCTTAAAACCTGAAGTCATCCAGGAAACAGTGGTTGGAAGAGTATCAAGGGTGTTACTAGGAGAGGAATCTGCTCAATTTCCAATTCTATATTAAACACCTGGAGGACGCCTCTTAAAATCTTCCCTGATTGCCTTGTGTATTCTGCCACGTCCTCCCCACATTTGTTTTTCTACTGAGCTGTTACTCTGCTTATGTCAATTTTTCATTCTTGAAAACTTATGAGCGGGAAAAGGATTCTTGAGCTAACAGAGACGCAAGAAATGCGCACAAACCATCAAAGGGAAGCGCAGGGGGTTCCCTATTCCCACGCCCTATTCCACTCCTTTTGCGTAGGAAGTGCTACTGTAAAACATTCCGGTTTCCCTCGACACATCCTCGCCCCTCGCACCCCTTTCCCTCTTTTTTTCTTGCAATGTTATTGGCATTATTATTATTTTTTTGACACACAGCTGCAAATGGAAACAGATCCACCTGCATTCTACCTTCATACATTGTAAATGAGTATTCGCGCATAAAATACGTTAGATCTTAGTAAGCATCTTGCTCCTTGAAAAACAAAACAAAAAGCTGGTCTTTCTCAATGCCCAGTTCCAGAACTTGGGTTCCCAGCAAACAGAGCAAGGTACAGCCCCAGTTGGAAACTCCCAGCCCTGCTAAGGGGGAAAAACGGGGTTTTCCGGCCACCTTAGGGTTTAAAAGCCTGTCCCGTGGGAGCTTTGCTTTCAGTTCTCTAGGCGGTTCATAGCTGCAAGAGCCCAGCTGTTCGCTGAACCTGGGCCGCCTGTGAGTAATTCGACGCGTCCAGGAGCTCGAGGAGGGCTGACTGGGCGTGGGGTTCGCAGAAGACAGCGCTGGCTGGGAACTGACAGACAACTAGACAGACAGCGTTGACTACTTCTGAGACCTGGCTGAAGGCCGCCACCGCTGAGTGGCGCGGAGCCTGCAACATTTGATCTGGGTTCAGAAAGCAGGTGTCCGGACTGCTTCTCACAGCCTGCCAGACGCGGTAGCCCCCAGCTGTTTGGAACCTCAAGGAAAATACTCAGGAGCGGCTGCCGGAGGGAGAGGCAGTGCTCTCAGCTGTCCAAAGTGCAAGGCCGGGCTATTCCCGGACGTGCACAGGCGCAGAGGGCAGGCAGCGCCGCCCGGAGTACCCCGGAGTGCCCCGGTGCGCCCGGTGCGCGAACTTGTGCGCCCGGGAGAGGAGCGCTTACCATGGAACATGGTCTGCGGGAGGCGGGCGTAGTCATGATGACCGCAACTGCAGCAGGAGCAAGCTCTCACCGCCCATAATCACTCTCAGGACTCTGGTCTTCCGCGGAGTTCCCGCGAGTCGGTGCCGGGTAGGGCAGTGTCTGCAGCTGGTTGCTCACCCTCGCCGCGCCTGCTGTTTCATCCATCCCAGGGGGGGCGGCACACACCACAGCCCAGCTCTGCGCTGCTTTGCCTTTTCCATAACTTCCGTAGGATCAACCGGCCGTGTACTTTCAGTTTCTAGTTTGCGCTTGGTATGCAGGTTCAATCTTTGGGTTCATTCCCAGGGAGCGGTCACAGTTTTCTCTCTCCTGGGGACCTGCGTCCTCCTTCAGCGCTTCTTATGCACCTGGGCTAGGACCAGAAGAGAACGCGAATTTCCAAAGTACTGCAGGAGAAACCAGCTGGCCTTCTGAATCAAAGTGATCCGGGGTGACTTTCCAGTTGACTCCTAACAGCCTTGGCAACGCTGGGCGACTGGGAGCTAAGATCATCAGTTGCTAATATGTCCACGAAAGTCACGAATGTGCAGTGTCCAAGTGGACGCTTCGGAGGAGGCGTCGCAGCTTGTGCTGCGGATGTGGTGGACGTTGCAAAGTCGTCTTGTGAAAAAAAAAAAAAAAAAGGAAGTGAAGAAGTGAAAAATGATTAAGAGGGTCACGCCCTCTACCCCTCCAACCTCTCTAATCAGTTTCTTTCCGTTCTGTCTTTTGTACATGCACCTGCTCAGGTGGGACCTCATGGAAAAATTACATTATGGGTCTACATAACCTGGTAAGTGATGTCATTGAAAGATCAAACCCCAATTAAGTGGAATATGTGGAAACTATAATAAGTAAGACTCCCACATGTGTGTTTATCTGAATTGGCTAATAAACTATCCGTTTTGACTGTATGTCCTTAGGATGTTAATTTTTTCCTATGTCTGAGCTATCTAAATATTTCCTACTTTGGCTTGGTTTCTAATATTCCACAGAAATGCTGTTTAGCTAAAGGTGGATAATGTAAACCAGTAACAACAGTGATGATGATAATACTGACCATCGTTTATCCAGCATTTGCTCTGTTTCAGAATTGTGCTATGCATTTTATATGCATGTCTCATGCAAAACTTTCTAAGAGACAGACCATTTTCTTATCTGTGCTTTACAGACATAGGGGCTGAGCCTTCTTTAAGTAACGCTGTAGCTGACTTAGCTAACCTTTTGGACAGAAATCTGCTGAATTCTTGCTCTAGAGTCTGTACTTGGAATTCCTGTGTCAGAATCCCTTGTGAATAATGCAGTCATGTATGCCAGGAGGAGAGACACCTAGTGGGTGGGCCTTTTCCCCAGTGTGGGGACCACGGGGAAAGTTTTTGGGGTTTGTGACTTCTAACTTGACACCTGAGAAGGACTGAACCTGGGGCTGGTGAAGAGCATCCCTGATTCTTGTAGTGTGAACAAAGGAAAGAGGGAGAAAGACAACAATTAGAATGGATTAGAGAGTAAGATAAAATACCTCAAGCTCAACACTTGTGTCTCTGATTCCTCTTCTAGTCTCACTTCCCACATCCAATGCACAGACAAATGCAATCAGCACTACCTTTAAAATAAACAGTGCCAGCGACTATATAATCTGTCTCAGGGATCTTCCAGCTCTTCCTCTTGCTGACAATCCCTTCCTTACCTTCACAGCAGCAAGATATCTGAAGACACTCCCTGACCATTGTATTCCGGGCCTTCCATGTCCTGTGTGATCTGGGCTCTGACACCCCCCACCCCCCCAAAAGCCCCACCCCCAAGGCGCTTCTGCACTATGTTCTATCACCCTGGCCTTTTGCTTCCCTGTGCCAAGCCCAGCTGGCTGCCACTTATAACAGTGTCCAGCACATGGTGGGCAGTCAGTAACTATTGCTGAGTGACAGAGAGATCGACTATGTGTGAGAATGCATGGGTGACTGGGTGTGAAGGGGAAAGTGTGTGAAGGCAGGTGGGAAACAGGAGGAAAGAGTGAGAGATTGAGGGAGAAAGTGTGAATAGCAGTCAGAATGGACAGTGGAAAGCTGAGTATTTTTCTATTTGGACTTAGCATGGGAAGTAGGGAGTAGGGAAACATGGGGCTGGAGTTACTTTAAAAAATGAATTCTTTAACCAAATATGAATATTTAACCAAATAAGCCGGTGACTTATTTATTGAAAATCCCTGACAACAACATTGGTAGGTAATTGCTCAAAGCCTGCACTTAAAAAAAAAAAAAAAAACTTTTCAGGGCAGAGTATAAAGGCATTCATCAATGACTCACACAAGAGGAAATCTGTCTTCCTTTTTGATGCGATCACCATAAAGCACAGCAGAATATGAGCTTGTGCGTAACTGAACTTCAGGGTAAACGGAATTGTTTAGAGCTCCAGGAGATGTACGTTCTCACTGGACTGTGCTCCCAAGTATGATGGATTTTTTAAGAGAATATAAAGCATTTTGACTTTTTACGGTTTTAGGAAAATGGGCACAATCTAATAACATTGAGTTATTATTTTTCTGTGTATTAGAGGATTAATACAATTTGGAAAACAATTCCAAAATAAAGTCTTAAATAAACTTGTATCAATAAACTCAGCATTATTTTTCTTTTTCTTTTTTTTAAAGATTTATTTTATTTATTTGAAAGACGGAGTTAGAGAGAAAGGGAGAGACAGAGAGAGGTCTTCCATCCGCTGGTTCACTCCCAAGATGGCTGCAACGGCCGGAACTGTGCCGATCCAAAGTCAGGAGGCAGGAGCTTCTTCTGGGTCTCCCACTTGGGTGAGGGGCCCAAGGACTTGGATATCTTCTATTGCTGTGCCAGGCCGTAGCAGAGAACTGGATGGGAAGAGGAGCAGCCGGGATTAGAACCAGCACCCATATGGGATGCTGGCACTTCAGGCCAGGGCATTAACCCTCTGACCCCAGCATTATTTTTCATAAAGTTAACAAGGTTAAAACATTCTATACATTTTTTAATTATAGTATTTTATGATTAAACAAATGGAGCAATAAATATTATGTTGGCTGATAGACCCAATAATTATGTATAAAAGCCAATAAGGTGAAAAAGAGTATACAAATTTTATGTTATAATCAATAAATATTAAAAAGATGACAGCCTTCTCAGAATGATTAATATGATGCAATGGAAAAAACAAAATGATGACAACTTAAAACTGTTGATTTAAGCATGTCTTTTTTTAGTATTACAATCTTCAAATTGTTCATTTTGAACTGTATTCTTAGATAATATTTTCTTCATTATTTATCTGAAGTTTTACACAATATAACTACTCTTCATAGTCTGTGATCTGAATTCTATTGTTCACTTCATGGGTATTTCTGAAGTTCCTATGACCTAATTTTCCAGGTGTATATTTCAAAAACACACAGCCAATTTTATGAGCATATGATTTGCATTGTTGCACAGGGACCTGTTCTTAGAAGGGTGTATACTTGATTTAATGCTCTGCTGTCACAGTCTTGAAGTTCTTAGTTACTTTTGGACAAGAAGAACCTTATTTTCACTTTGCATTGGCCTGCATAAGTTCTTCATCTCATCATATAAACTTTTCACATGTTAAGTTATACATTGAGGATAGCAATGCATGTCTTTAAGATGGCTTCAAGCTGATGGAGAAAACAGATGTTAAATGTGCAATTTCAAGAATGAAGAATATTATGAGAAGGAAAAAAATGACATGGTATTTGAACCAGAGATTTAAGGCAGTCTAGACTTATTTTATGCTGAAATAAGAGTCCAGAAAAGGTTACTTCACCTCTCCAGTGAAAAACAGCTATAAGTGGATGACCTGTAATTTGGAATCAGATCTGTATGATCTTCAAGCCCGAGCTTGTGAATTACATTTGAATTTTATCAAACAATGACGACTGAGCATCTGTTTACATGGTCATATGTTTTTTCTTGTGTTCTTGAATAAACCATAAACCATAAATGTAGCATAATGCTAAATTCAAGTTGCCAATATTTAGCTCAGAGTTTTGCAACTGTATTTATAACCTGGATATAGTGATTGTTTATATTGCAATCAGCTGAGAGTAGGCTGGTCTTGTCAGGTTTTGCTAACTTCATGAAAAGAGTTAGGAATTCTATTATTTTCCAAGATTGTTTATGCATTATATGAGCTGTTTTTTTCTGGAAGACTTACCAGAGTGCACAGATACAATATACTTAATTTCATGTGATAAAGCCCAGAGAGAGGATAAGCCTGTCAATTCTGAGCATCACAAGACTGTAAATAAAAAGGCCTAATCAAAATGGCTGTGTCAGTCAGAAAGTACCCTACTGGGGATGTGCATGCCAGCATACTGGTGATGCCCAGAGTGTGGAAAAGAGTGGAATGATCCAATCGGCATGACAGAAGAGAGAACTAATGCCAAGAGGAACCTTGACATTAAAGCACTAAAAAATAGATGGAGAACTACAGGATGATGACAACAAAACCAACCAAGAGTAGGAAGCAAAGTCAGAGAGTCAGAAATCAGTGTCCCAGACGTCAGTGGAGACTACATTTCAAAATAGACTAACTAATTAGTATTTCCAGTTGACACAAAGATACTGAGTAAGATGAGGACTGAAAGATATGTACATTGCATTTGGTAAAGTGATTAGAGATTGTCCATAGCCCTTATAACAACAGAAGGGTAGTGTAGATAGAAACAACATTCTAGTTTGTAGGGGGATGAAAGAGGAAAATTAAATATGAGGAGACCACCTCCTAAAGATGTTTAGTAATGATAAAAACATCAAGGTAGGTCTTTTGATGTAGCAGTTAAGATACTATTTAGAGTGCCTTCATCCCATTTCAGAGTGCCAGGTTCAAGTCCTGGTTCCTCCGCTTCCAGCCCAGCTTCCTGCTGATGCGTAGTCTGAGAGGGAGCAGATGATGGCTCAAGTACTTGGTTCACTGCTGCCAACACAGGAGACTCAGTGTTCTGGGCTCCTGGCTTTGGCCTGGCTCAGCCATTCTGACAATTGTGGGCATTTTGGAAGTGAATCAGTGTTTTCTCTCTCTCTCTCTCTCTCTCTCTCTCTCTCTCAAATAAAATGAAAATAAATACTCTTTATGAAAAGGAATAGGATAATGGCTTGGAAGGTGCCTAAAACATGATGGAAGTTTTCTTTTTCATGCATTAGATGAACTTGAGCATATTTATTTATTTTGTAAAATTAGGTTTTAAAAAAGTGGAAAGGATGGATCCAAGCAACCCAAGATACCATTTTCTTCCTTAAGCTCTTTTCATGTCTTCTCTTTAAGTTCAATCCTTAAATCCCATATTTCTAGGCAGTCATACTCAGCTGTATATCTAGTGTCTAACTGTATGCTCTCTAATGCAATTTTTCTTAAGTCAATGACTTGTACATTTCTGGGTGTGTGTTGGCTTGTCTAAGAGAAAAATTTAGTATTTTTCCAGGTCCCCTCAGAAAGGAAAAATGTAACTTCTGTTACAAAAAAAAAAAAAAAAAAAAAAAAAAGAAAATCATGTGTTGTTGTCAATCAGAGGTTTTTTTTACAGACCATATTTTGGGAGGTATTCGGTTTTAACCACTGTTTTCACAAAAGATCAATTACAGAATATTGCACCTACAACAATTTTGTTCATGCAACTGTTTGTAGAAAGTAGAAAAAATATTTTACTCTGCATAGATTCCCTTTACTTTATCCACATACTAAGTGAGGATGTTGAGTTGTTTTTATGAGCTCTTAGGTAGCAGTGATTGTGTCTTTTTCAATCTGAAATTCTCT